TGGAAACAGCCCAGCCGGTGCGGCTCAGTGGTTGAGCATTGACCTATGAACCAGGAGGTCACAGTTCAATTTTGGGTCAGGACACATGCCTGAGTTGTGGGCTCGATCCCCAGTGTGGGGCATGCAGGAGGCAGCTGATCAGTGATTCTTTCTCATCATTTGCTGTTTCTATCTTTCCCTCCCTCTCCTTTCCTCTCTGAAATCAATAAAAAATATATATTTTAAAAAAGTGTAAATATGGGTAGAGCAATGTTTGAAGAAAGTAATTAAAATTGTTTTTCAGATATATTTATATTTGGCATTTAGATATACAGTAAACTACTCTCTCAATTACTCCCAAACAGTAGGCCCCCTACCTATGGTTTTGCTTTCTGTAGTTTGCTACCCATGGTCAACTGCGGTCCAAAAATAATTCCAGAAATAAACAATTCAAAGCTTTTAAATTGTATGCTGTTCTGAGCAGCATGATGAAATCTCCACCAGTCCCACTCTGTCCTGCCAGGGACGTGAATCTCCACGCTGTGCACACTCCCCTCCTGTTAGTCACTTAGAGTCTTGGTATCAGTTTGACTGTCATGGTGTCACAGTGCTTGTTTTCAAGGTAATTCTTATTTTACTTAATAATGGCCCCAAAGTACAAGAGTTGTGATGCTGGCAATTTGGATATGCCAAAGAGAGAGTCCTAAAGTGCTTCCTTTAAGTGAAAAGGTGAGGAGAATACATTTTTTGAGAGAGAGAGAAGGAGAGGCCACATTCACATAACTTTTATTATATTTTTATAATTGTTCTGTTTTTATTAGTTATTGTTAATATCTTACTGTGCCTGATTTATAAATTAAACTATCATACATATGTATGTCCAGGAAAAACAGTATGTATAGGGCTCCGTACTATCCACAGTTTTAGGTATCCATTGGGGATCGTGAGATATATCCCCCATGGGTAAGAAGAGGACTATTTTCTCCTTATATTCCTACTGCGGTGTCTATAAATTGCCTGTATGGAGGAATTCACTGAGAGTTTAGAATGTTATGATACATCACTCAAACGTGACTTATTCATTCTGTTTCTTTTAATCCCCAATGCAAAGCAAGAAGGTTGTATTCATTATTAAATACCAGAGACATACAGCTGTATAAAATACAAAACCATTCTCTCCTAAAACTATTTACACTGAAATATGGTTGGATCTTATCTAGTAAAACATTGAGAAGCATAGTTCCATCTAGTACATTTTTCAGCTGCATTGATGTGGCATTCATGTTTACTTATCATTAGGAAACTTGGATGAAACTCCTTTTCAACATGGGTGAACCTCTCTTATTGGGATATTTGGAAGAGACATTCAAGCTAAAACAGTAGTTCTAGGTTCAACTAGTGCGTGCGAGACGGCTCATGCTCCCTCTGGTGGCAATAATGCCTCACTGTTTTTCATGGAAAAATGTGGATAATGTGGAAGATGAGGTTGTCAGGGTGAAGTGATGGTCCCAGTTAAACACAAAACAGAAGCCTGGTGCCTTAGATGAAGGTTTCGTGTGGAGGCTCCTGAGCACTCTTCCGTAGCTGGGGTGTTTGGTTGCGAGGCTTTCCCAATCGTTTTTAGTTCTGAGCAGGGGAGAGGAAAGGAGGGGGGATAAAGACATCTCCTGCTCATATCTACGCTGGCCATTCAGGGATATGATGAGGAATTACTGAGATATTTATTAAGTGTTTTAAATTCTTTAAATAAAGATGATTTGTGAACTTAGTTTTCTTAGTAACATGTTTGCTACTCTAAGCTTCCTTTTGGAGCAGTGGTCAGTAGTAAGATCACAAAAATAAAAAGTCAAATGCTGTCATATTTATTATTTTTAGTGCACTATAGTACACAAAATATAGATTATTATACGTTATAATATTTTCAAGATAATATAATTCATTGTCTGGGGAATGTAGAAGAAGGCTATATAGGCAATGGTTTAAGTCTTTTGTAGAATTATGAAGCATTGTTATTATTTTAGGGTTTAGAAGAAGGAAAATGTTTCTCAATGATGTCTCATCCAACTAATTTTTCTGAAAAATGAGTATTAATTTAAGTTAGGCTATTGCTCTGAAGTGTGGATGAAGGATGCTTTAGAAGAAAATTTAACTAATGTGGGACTGCATGTGCATTTTTATATATGCTATATCCTCAGGGTTCTATTTCCTCAGGAACTTACTGTATTTTCAGAGTTCAAGTAAAACATCTGCATAATCAAGGGCCTTTTAATGAAGAAAAATGACTTAACATTTCCCAACTTTATAAATGCACAAAAAGCTGTTGAGCTGCTAATCATGAATTCATCCTAAATTGTTGATTAATGTGTGCAGATGTAAGCATAAAAATTATGCATTCCTCATTAGCATATGTTTACATTTGTTAAATCACAGGTGGTCTAGAAATTGGAGGAAATTAGAGGGTTTTTTTTAAATATATTTTATTTATTTTTTGCAGAGAGGAAGGGAGAGAGATAGAGAGTTAGACACATCGATGAGAGAGAAACATCGATCAGCTGCCTCCTGCACATCTCCTACTGGGGATATGCCCGCAACCCAGGCACATGCCCTTGACCGGAATCGAACCTGGGACCTTTCAGTCCGCAGGCCGACGCCCTATCCACTGAGCCAAACCGGCCTCGGCTAGAGGGTTTTTTGTTTTGTTTTCTTTTACCTTTGGAACTTTTCCCTGCCTTGAAACTGCTGGGCATTTCAGAACTCAGTTTAGTTAAATATATGACTATTATTGTGTTATAGAACTTAAACATATAGACTAAATTCCTGAATCATTTATGACCAATTGTTTATGGCTAGAAAGACTGAATTCTCCTTCAGGTTAAGATACTAGTAACATTTTTGTTCATTCTTTTTTTTAAAAAAATGGCTCTGACTTCTGACCTTTTTTATTATTTATTTATTTATTTATTTTTAATATATCTTTATTGATTTCAGAGAGGGAGAGGGAAAGAGAGATAGAAACATCAATGATGAGAGAGAAAATCATTGATTGGCTGCCTCCTGCATGTCCCCCACTGGGGATCAAGCCTGCAACCCAGGCATGTGCCCTTGACCGGAATCGAACCTGGGACCCTTCAGTCTGCAGGCTGACGCTCTATCCACTGAGCCAAAACAACTAGGGCTCTGCTCATTCTTCAGAGATGGGAATGAAAGGCATTTCCTGTGGAATTGCAGCAATAGCAGTTTTGTTTTTTTTTTTAACATGAAAATACCTTACATTTTTTTCTTTTCTGATAATTAAGGTAAGAAATTCTCTTGACTAAAAAACAAAATCAGAGAAGATGAATATAAATAAGAAAATAAAGTTCCTGTAATTCCAACACTCAGAAATACCCACTGTTAGTGCTTTTTAACATTTACCCCTCCCTGCAGCATCTTTTATGGGTTAACACATTGTCTAGTGAATCGGGCCAGCCACATGTAGGAAAGGTGGGTTCCATACAGGAAATCCTGCCAAGGAAGCATTTCTTTAGATGTTTTTAAGCATATAATTTTATTCTTATAACAAAATCTATCAACAATATCATGTTGTAATGTCTGAGACCAGGGCTTCATCCCCTCCCCCCTAATCTTCCATGTTTTGACTCCTTTTGAGTTGACTGAAAGGTCTTTACAGACAGATAATTATTATTTTTTTCTACAAAGGTAAAAAAGGCTTAGTCAATTCAATTGCTAGAAAATAGCTTATTGTATTCTGGGGGCCCAGAAAGCCCTACCAGAATGCCTTGTGGTGCCCTTATTAACTGAGAAAAATGAAAGCCATGAAAATATTATATGTTGAAAGTGATATGGAGCTCTAAAATGCTGATACAAATTATGAGTATAAAATTCCACAGGGCAGTGTGTATCAGTGGCTTTGCTTAACTCCAGGCCTTTTAATTATTAGGGTTTGGGGTTTTTTCTTTGGGCCTATTATTAGATCTCAGTTCTCTTGAAAGGACTGATGAAAGCTTATCATTTTCTCACTAGGAAAGAGACATTCCGTGGCAACAGTTGCAGGGATAATAGATTTGTAGTATTCCTTGCTGTTATGGGAGTGTGAACACTGAATGCTGACTTTGAATTTCGCATTCTGGGAAGTTAAAGGTAGTGGTGTAACTACTTTCTGCTCAAGTCGTTCTTGCAGAAGATTTGTGGGTCTATCCATAGGGATGGGGAAAGGCATGTGGAGGGAGACAGCTGACAGAACCTGAAAGATGAGTCAGCGGCACACAGTCTGCCAGTCTGGGCAGTCCCACCGTTTCCTTTCCTCTTGTGGTTGCTGTTTTTAGTGGGTTATCACAGATCATCTTGGGATTCTTTCATATTGACAATCAGGAGTTCTCCTTTTGCATTTACTTAGAAATAGCTAGAGGGGCCCTGGCCAGTGTGGCTCAGTTGGTTGGAGTGTCATTCTGTGCACCAAACGATCTTAGGTTGGATTCCCTGTCAAGGCATGTACCTGGGTGGCTGATTCACTTCCCAGTCGGGGCACATGTGGGAGGCGACCAATGGATGTTTTTTCTCTCACATTGATGTTTCCCTCCCTCCCTGCCAGCCTCCCAAGTCTCCCTCCCTCCCTCTCTTCCTCTTTCTCTGGAATCAATCCTCGGTGAGGATTTAAAAAGGAAGAAAGAAGGAAATACCTAGAGGGAACAGGAACAGAAACAGAAGCCTCAAATTCTTCTTCATTGTAACATCACCACCAGAGGCTGTGTGCATTCGCCCTTGCAGTTCCAAGCTCTGTCATCAAATGAAGCCCTGGTTATGGCTGGTTTCAGTGTGATTTTTCTTCAGTGGTGCTGGCAGATACATTATTCTGGTGACTTTCATTAGCTCTCCCTGCCCAGTCTTTCCTTTTGGTCTCAGCTGGCAAATAAAACTTCCCAGTCTGAAAACTATGAATGTTGTAGCTCTGCTAAAGTTAGCTGTGGGATTGTTAGATGAAGCACGTTTGCAGAGATGAGCGGTGTTTTCTCAATTTATAGGAGAAGCCCTGATATCCAAGCAAAAGAAGAGTTATGGAAGCATATTCAGTGAGTACCGGTTTTTCCCCCTCCTTGTATTAAAGCCCATGTAGTTTTAAGGCAAGGACAAGAAAGACTGCCGACACTAAGAGACAGCCTAGGGCTGAAGCCTGTCAGACAGTCTTCATTACCGTCATTATGTGGAACATGGAATTCACAGTGGTGGTGCCTTACTGCACTGGCAGCCCTGACATCTCTTCTCCTGAGGCCCCTTAGCCTGGCCTGTAACTGGGTCTCAGACAGACCAAATAAATACCAAGGAAAACAGATTCGGAAGAAAAAAAAGACTCCTACTACAGGGGAGGGAGGCAGAATTTTGTAGGGAAATTAAGAGTGGCTGGAGAGCCAGGCACATTGGATATAGATAAATTAGAAGATAGTAGAAGAGTATAGAAAAGGTTTGCCTCCCATTTTTCCTTGAGTACATTGTAGTTTTTAAATCTTTGTTCCTGCCTTATATTTCCACTAGAGGCCTGGTGCACAAAATTTGTGCATGGGGGGGGGGGGTGTCCCTCAGCCCCAACCTGCACCCTCTCCAATCTGGGAGCCCTCAGGGGAGCCCTCTCCAATCCAGGAGCCCTGACGGCTTAGGCCCACTCCCCATGATTCTCTGCTCTCTGCAGGGCCTGGCCACTCACGCTGCCTGCTCTCAGTGGCCGCCCCCCCCAGGAATGGGGGACTCTGGTGGGGCTGAGGGGTCTGGGTGCCACCATCTTGTGGCTATGGGCACCGCCATCTTTGTGACAGAGTGATGGTTAGTTTGCATGTTACCCTTTTATTAGATAGGATTAGGTTTGCTAATACTGTGTTTTGGGACAGTTGTGAAAGGTTTTAGTATTTATACCAGCGTCAGAACTTTAATTTTCTTGCCCTCTGCCGTCTAGGAAGGAACTTGTGGATCCGTCTGGGTTATCAGAAGAACAATTAAAAGAGATTCCATACACTAAAGTAGAGTGAGTATGTCTTTGAAAGTCTTTTCACACAAGTTTCATTCATACTTCGAAGTGAGTAATCCATTCTTACTCTCCGTGCAGTGCTTAAATTTGTCTTTACACTTTAACTAAAATTAAGAAGAACCATAGGGAAAGAGGAAGAAAGGGTGTAATAAAGCTAATCATTCCCCTTCTGTACAATCACTATTACCCCCTGTTAACTGACTATGTGTGTGTGGTAGGTACAAAGGGACTTTTGATGGCTGATGTTAGTTTTAAAATATAAATTCATTTATTGAGGTATTCATGGATTGGTCACAAAGTTTCTTTTTATTCATCATTTAACACCAGGAGAACGATGTGGACCACAAAGCCCTCTCATTTAAGGCCAGTCCAATCCCTATCGCACAACTAGCAGGTTGGCTGTGCCTCGTGAAAGCACAGGGGTTCCCTAATCGGCACGCGGTGTAGGATGCCCAGCAGATGACCTATTTACTCAGTTCTCTGCCCTGCTATAATGGTTCAGAGAAAGTAGCCTACTTCACTGCTTTATTTCCCTTCTGTAACTCATGCATCCTTCCCACTCCAGTCAAATTGCAGGTTGGTACACCCCCTTCCACCTCCATCCCTCAACCCCATCATCTTTGGGCCAAAGTTTGAATTTTTAACAACAGACCAGTTAAGTAGCTAGACAATGGCCAACTTTTTCTGGTAGGAATGCCATTTTGTCTGCATTGCAGATTTTTTTCTTCCACGCTACTGGAGAGAATTCAACTGTAGGGAATAATTTCATTAGAATTTAGTGGTTAAAAATAATATACACATACATACATACATACAAATACTATAAAGAGTTTCATTTTCATGTATAGTTGAGGGAGCAGTTTTCTATTGTTAACTTGTGACATTTAAGCCACTTAGGATTTTCAAACCCAGAAGGTTTTTTGTTTTTTGTTTTTAAGCTCTCACAGTCATTATTAAGGAATTATCCTATTCTGACTTGTGTGTTTGTTTCCACGTGTTTTGGATTGCTTGTTCAGGACTCAAGGTGACCCGATCCGAATCAGACATTCTCATTCGCCGCGAAGTTACCGCCAGTACCGCCGGTCCCAGTGTTCAGATGGAGAGCGATCCGTTCTATCGGAAGTGAAGTAAGCAGGCAAGCCCGAGGACATCAGCACAGCCCAATAGAGCTTCTTTTGATGCTAGAAATGTTTTATATCTGTGGCTGTCCACTATTTGAAATGTGGCTCATGTGGCTGAGAAGCTAAGCGTTGAATTATTATTAATTTTCATTAATGTACGTAGCTACGTGTGGCTGGCTAGTGCCTACCCCTCTTGGACAGTGCAGATCCAGACCATACTGAGGCTGATTCATGTCACTTAGAAAGAAAAAAATGCATAAGCTATTCTGTTGTGAATGATGCAGCCATATTTGAGAGAAGTTGGCATAAGAAGTGTTTTGTTTTTGATCTGATGACATTTTGTCTTTTACTACAGCAAATAGCGTATTACCGTAGTTAATTTCTTTGTGTTATTTTTTTCTTGTGAAAAAAGTAACCATTATCTTGCTTAACACAATAGGTGCTATATTTTAAATGACTACATTAATAAAATCATTATACATCCATTTGTAAAAGTACTGTAATCATAGAAATTCATGAATTTTGTAACTCTGAATTAAGGCTCAAAACTTTGATAAATATTAATAAACTAGGGGCCCCGTGCACGAAATTTGTGCACTGGGTGTGGGGGGGGGGAGTGTCCCTCAGCCCAGCCTGCCCCCTCTCACATACTGGGAGCCCTCAGGCGTTGACCCCCATCACCCTCCGATCGCCTGATCGGCCCCTTGCCCAGACCTGACGCCTCCGCCAGAGGTGTCAGGCTTGGACAGGGGACCCCCATCTCCCCCCGATCACTGGCTCTGGCCCCCGCCCAGGCCTGAGGCCTCTGGCCCAGGAATCATGCCTGGGCAGGGGACCCCCATCTTCCTCTGATCGCTTGCTCTACCCCCCGCCCAAGCCTGACGCCTCTGACCCAGGCTTCAGGCCTGGGCAAGGGGACCATCATATCCCCCCAATCCCCGGCTCCACCCCCCACCCAGGCCTGATGCCTCAGCCAGAGGAGTTGACCCTCATCACCCTCCGATCACCAATCACCGGATCGGCCCCTTGACCAGGCCTGAGGCCTCCGGCAGAGGTGTCAGGCCTGGGCAGGGGACCCCCAGCTCCCCGCGGTTGCAGGCTCCGCCCCTGCCCAGGCCTAACGCCTCTGGCCTAGGCATCCGGCCCGGGCAGCGGGGACCTGCAGTGGCAGCGGGGGGCGCCGCCATCATGGGCTTCGCTTTAGGCCCAGGCAAGGGACCCCTAGCTCCCGGGACTGCCAGCTTCATCCGTGCCCAGCTCCCATCACTGGCTCCACCCCTACTTCCTGCTATCACTGGCCAGGGCGGCAAAGGCCCTGATTCTCCGATCATGGCTGGGGGGCAGGGCAAAGGCGGCCCCAGGGCCGCCTTTCCCCTTCCCCCCAGCTCTTAGCTCCCCCCTGAGTTTCCCATCACTGTCAGTGGCAGGGGGCTTCTTCCTGCTTTCCCTTTCGCCTCCCTGCATTGTGCCTACGTATGCAAATTAGCCGCCATCTTGTTGGCAGTTAATTTGCATATAGCCCTGATTAGCCAATGAAAATGGTATCGCCGTACACCAATTACCATTTTTCTCTTTTATTAGTGTAGATTGGGAGATAGGCTAGCCCAGTGGAGAGAGGTAGAGGCCAGGTTTTGCTTATTTTTTGTTTTGTTTGCAAAATGTAGATAATGGCTGCCAATAGTACCATAGGTTTATTTTAAAAGTACAAATGGTTAATAAATGTTTCTTTAGAAACAGATCAAAAAGCCATTTATACAACATGTCAGAACAGCATAGGGGAACGAGACATCATTATGTTTTATTCTTGGTCCTTCTATTTATTTGCTTTGATTTTGGGCAAATTACTTAACCTGTCCAACTTAATTTAGAAACATTTATTCAACACCTCTCTACGGGAAGCACTCTGGTGGAATACAAAGATAATACAAAGATATAGAAAACGTGTTCTATGCTGCAGCCTTTTTTCAACTCGAATTGTGATTGTCAGAATTTAATTCTAAAACTCCCTCTCTGCAGTTCAAAAACGGATCTTGTACCTCCACTTCCCGTGACCCGCTCTTCAGATGCGCAGGGTTCTGGTGGCTCCACAGTTCATCAGGTTGGTAACAATAAAGTTTTAAGGTATTTTACTGGTGGCAATCTTGAGAAGCACTTTTCCTGAAATTTCTTTTGGAAGGTGGGAAAATGAATCTTTAGCTTCACTCTGAGATTCTATGTTTTAAAAGAACATGTACAAACCATGGAAGGAGGAGGAAGGAGGGAGTGGATGATCAAGGCAAGGCCCAACCTGGGAAGAGTTATGTTAGGAGCGAGAGCTAGAGATAGTGCAAGGTCTAAAATGATCTGAGGCCTGGGGCAAAGCCAAGGCTAACAAGGATTGTTGAGATTGTTTGGAGCCAGAATAAAAAAACAACAACACACAGTGGCTTCACCATATAACTTTTAGATATTTTTTGAGCCAGAGAAACAAGGAGAAAGTAGCAGACTTGCAGGTGACAGATATTCTATTATTAACTAATGGCAGAGAAGAGAATTATTCAGTCCTGTTTTATTTCTGTCTTCTCCATTAAAGAGAATTACTTTTGTTCTGGAAATGTTTTAAAAATGTGGTTAAAAGAGAATTCAAGGACATAGTACAGAATCTAACTGCATTAACAAAATTAATTTAACACTCAGCTGAATTACATAGATATATCAAGGGAGCTCTGTAGCAAACATTTCAGCAACGTGTTTGATACCACCTTTCATGGTCTATTTTTTTAATAAGATAGAAAACAAATGCAGGCTGTGTAAGATGATTGTGTGGATTTATATCTGGTTAAACAACCACTCTAAAAACAAAGTTGATGTTTACAATGGATCAGTGACAGCCTGTTGTTTGCAGTGCTGTGTTTTTCAGTCTTTTGGATTGTGAATCTCTTTGAAAAGCCAATGTAACATAAAAATGCATGTTAGCACTTACACTGTTTTGTATATTTCCTTGGAGTTCACCGACAGTCTAAGAACCCTGACTCAAGCTGTATTCATCATGCATTGCCTTTCATTTGTTCAAATTCATTTTTGCCAACGTCTTGAATAAGAACAGAGGAAACCTGTGCTTTAGGTTATGTTCCCTAGAAACAGATTCTGAGAGGGAGATTTGCATGGAGGAAGTTAATTGGAAAGCACTGTTAGGATCAACACTTGTTGGGAAGTGGAAGAGGTTTTAAATATAAGAAAACATTAATTTCTGATGTATGAGTTAAGTAATTAACGTGGCTGTATTTTCCTCTGAGTCTTACTATTTTTCTTCCAGAGGAGAAATGGGTCTAAAGATAGCCTGATTGAAGAAAAATCTCAGACATCTACAAGCAATCTGGCTGGAAAACATATAGCAAAAACAATAAAAACTATCCAAGCTTCACGCCTCAAGATAGAGACTTGATCCCAGTGAAAGGCTTGGAATGGGGGATGAAGAGGGGGTGGGAAGGGTGTGTGCTGCCTTTACTTTGAAACTGTGAATTGTAATTATTCAAGTATCTTGGACCTCCAAGTGTTTCTTCAGAAGAAAATCGAGTCTGTTGCTCCTTTTAAAAGGTTTAACTACAGTGTATTTGTGCTGAAGAGCCTTTTTTTTTTTTTTGTAGTAACTGGAAGGATAGTCGTCTTGTAAAAACTCGTGCCGCATCCACAACCCAAGCCAGGTGTTTCTGGACTCCTGGGACCGCAGCTGGCCAGCTGTGCAATAGTACAAGTGGGACGAAGAGCTCTCCCCCTCTAGGTGGACCTCCACCTGTGCAGATGCATAAAGGAGGCCACATCACTTTTCACACTAGATATTTTTACTCACATAAATGTTCTTTGTAATGCTGTATTTTGTGGCATTAAGTTCCACTGGTTATTTACAAATGTAAAGTTTTATTTGAAAGCATTGATTTTAATTTCTAGTGTCCTTGTCTTGTTTTCAGGAAAAAAAGATTTTTGTGGGTCTATTCATGACCACCCTCAACCTCAAATGGTCCCTCCAGTCTGCCTGGTTGACTCTCCCCAGACTATTTCAGACCTTTCCCCCCAGCAATGTACCTTACATGAAAATAAAACACTAATGCAAGCCATCTTTTACCCTACCCCTTACACCTCTTCCCCGGGTGGTTCTTTTATGCCCATGACTACTTCTGTAGCTTCAACAGGCCAGTGTCTTCCAAGAGACCCAACTAGTTTAAAATGTTGCTTCCCAGCTAGATTTAGGGCCTTCATTACTGTGCTTGTCTACACACCTGGTAATCATACGGACACCCCCTCTGATTACCAAATCCCGTCACCTTTGCTCTCTGTAGCTGATTTATCCCTTTATCATTATTTTTTTTAAAATATATTTTATTGATTTTTACAGAGAGGAAGGGAGAGAGATAGAGTTAGAAACATCGATAAGAGAGAAACATCAATCAGCTGCCTCCTGCACACTCCCTACTGGGTACGTGCCCGCAACCAAGGTACATGCCCTTGACCGGAATCGAACCTGGGACCCGTGAGTCCCCAGGCCGACGCTCTATCCGCTGAGCCAAACCGGTTAGCGCCCTTTATTATTTTTGCCACATTGACCCCAGGTGGTCATCTCTTATCTAGACTACTGTAGTAGCCTCCAATTGGCCCACCTGTATCCTTGCAACCTCAATTTGTAACATCCTGAGCTCTCATGATGGCCATCTAACATGTCTCATTATGCACTCCTTGTCTAAATCAGGGAACTAGAGAGGGAAAGGAACAAATATGAACTTATGGTCATACTTTTTCTAGCTCAAGGCCTCTGCACATGCCTTGCAAAACTGTCACCTACCCTTAGTCCCAACTCTTCTCAGGCAGGTTTCCCCGACTTGGTCCAATTCTACTTTACATGGGATTTGTCTCACAAAGTTCTACATTTCTGATGACATTCATTTGCTTGGAATCTTCTAAAGGGAGGGACTATTTTGCTCATCATATTCCCAGCTCCTAGTACAGTGCTTTCAATAATTTTTCTGAATTTATGAACACATTTGTATTTTCCTGCAAAGTGAAAGCAGAAGATATGCCAACTTGAAGTTTACAATCTAGTAAAAGAAAAATTTAATGCAGTGACAACATAAAAGCACACCCATACCCTACAAACCAACCAGTCTAGTTTCGTTCATGAGACACTGGAAGAAAGCACATTTTCCCTCAGGCCCAACATAAGCCTTCCCTATATAGCACTGAATATTAAGCTTAATGCAAGTTCTGAAGTTGCTGGGGGAGGAGAGAAACCCTCTGACTTTTCTGTAAAGGAATGCTATTTTCTGGCAGTCACAGAGTACACAGACCTCCAGGAAGCATATTTAAATGTTTATTCACAGACCCATCGTGTTAAATGTATATTTATGAACTGTCCAGAGATAGTTTTGGTCTTCCTCAGACTCTTGAAAATTTTAAATGATCCGGGCAACTCCTGTGAAGATCAAGTTTTCAAATTCTTCACCAAGGGCATCCTAAAAGGAAAAAAAGCGCTAAATTTTACAAGCAAATATTTACACGCATCAGACCTTAATTTAATTACTATTCTCAATGCCTGGTTCTGCACTGAGTTTCTGGAGTCAGATTTAAATGTCAACATAAAACACACCTGACATTTGACGTGTTTTGTTTTTTTTAAATTCTACTACTACTGCCCAGCCAGTGTGGCTCAGCATCAACCTATGAACCAGGTCGTCATGGTTCAATTCCCCATCAGGGGACATGCCTGGCTTGCAGGCTCGATCCCCAGTGTGGGGTGTGCAGGAGGCAGCCAATGATTTTCTCTCATCACTGATGTTTCTCTCTCTGAAATCAATAAAAATATATAAATTCTACTACTACACAAAAACATCTTAAGATTTCAAAAATAAGCTGGAAACAGGCTATCCCATTTACCATTAACTTCACCTAATTACTGATGTGCAGTACTAATACTAATAAGCCATTAATATCCAATTTAAACTAATACCCACAAGACACCCCAGTATAGAAAGGTGGTAAGATTCCCATCACAAAGAACTGCTTTTATTTTTTAAATACTTTAATCTTTTTATTGGAAGTATTTATATTGCCTGAAAAGTATTCCACTGGTGAGTTATTTTAATAGGTGAATATTATAACAAGCAAATCTTGAAAAACTTAAGAAAATCCAAACATCACGTACAAGCAAAGCATCTTAATAGACAACAAATATAACTTCTACATCACCTTACCTTAGGTCACTTGTGCTCCCAGGTAGTCTTCACGTAGCAGCAGCCTATGCTTCATGCATCCATCCTTCCCCTAAACAAACAAACAAAAAATGGTTATGAGAAACTCTACACTTAATGCTGGCAGACTCAAGATCACACGTGCAAACTGATGTACAAGTATGAACTGTTACTTACACAGCTCCTCCACCAAAGACATCAAATTCAAGGGCAGGAAAGGGCTGCAAAGTGTGTAGTTTACGCCTTTTTTGACACCACATTCACTAGTTTCCAAAAGTGAATGGGCAACACAAAGGCTACATGAGTCGCTGCAGAGACTGCTGGTCTCTGGCACGAGGCTGCTGCCCCTAAATCACCCCGCGGGGAGAACTGCTCATTCGAGATGGGACGAGAACGAAGAACTAATCCCAGCTCTAGACTTTCTCTCGCAACTCACAATGCGACAGGATACTGAAAACGGAAATGCAAAGTGTTTTAAGAGTTTCAAACTCTTAGAACTTCAACGCAACTAGCCTTTTTTCTTACAGGAAGATGAAAACTCACCTGCTCAGTCGGCGATACTCGTTCGACTTCCGCCGGTTCTGCACCTGGACCCGGTGTCAGGCCCTAAACCTTACCTGGCTCCTCTACGCTGACCGATTCCCCGCGTGACATGGGTGGGCTTAGGTGAGGCCGTTCCCTTTCACAGAAGCTCCGCGTTTATATCAAAAACTCCCGGCATCCAGTCCATGACCAATACACTCAAATGCACTCCAACCCATCTCCCCATTTCCCGGCGGGGTCGCAGACCGAGGTCCGCTTCGGGGCCTCCTGGGGTGCAACGTGGCTGAAGTCAGGCCCAGGCGCTGCCGTTCACGTATTCGGGGCCCGGACCCGACCGGGCCGCCGCGGGCGCGACAGTGGGCTCAGGGGCCCGGCCGGACCCCGCCCCGGCCCACAGAAGCCCCGCGGTCGCATACACGGAGCCCCCGCCATGCAGGAGCCGCAGGCGCAGCCTAGCACCACCCCGAGCGCGGAGACCAGAAAGGCCGCGCTGCCTTCCCACAATGCTTTTCTACCGCTGGGAGGGTCCACTGTCCGCAGGGCGCAGGGGGGGGGCGGGCTGTACCATCAGCCACCGCGCGCTCGCGAGACGCCGCCGTGTGGCTGAAGGGAGAAGTGCGCAGTGATTGGCAGTGGGGCGGGGCTCCAAGGCGGAAGGAGCTCTTCTGCGCGCGCAGTTCTTTCCGCGGAGAAGGAGGGGTTCAGTGTGGCTGCACCTTTCCTCCCAGTGTCGGGCGCGCATGGTCAGCTCTGAGCTGCGCGTGTAGCCCAAAGGCCTTGAGACCTCGTGTTCTGGGGAGGACAGACAGAGCTCACCATCTCCAGATGAGGAAGAGTAAGGTCATTCATAAAAAGTATATATTTACTAAGTACTTACTGTGCTCAGGCAGTGTCCTAAATGCCTGGGCCAGGTGCGAAGGAGACAGGCACGGTTCGTGTCTTACTCGCTAGTCGGGCGAGAAAGACACTGGGCAGGTAGCACGTGGACACTGCCTGTCCAGATAGAGTGTGAGCCCCGAGAAGGGCGCAGTGGACGGCACGGTGACAGCAGTGCTGTCTGAAAGGCGCGCCGCCCGCCTCTCCGGGCGGTGCGGGAGGAGGAGTCTGGCCGCTGGGCTCTGGGATCCCTCCGCGGCCGCCGGCCTCCCCGGAGCGGGTCCGAGTGTCCGGACCGGCTGCGTGGTGGCCGGCGGCGGGCCGAGGGGTGGGGCCGGGCGGCGACCGACCACGGGGGAGGTCATGGGAGCGGAAGGCCTCACCGCCTGGCTCTTCCCTCCCTTCCCCCATGGTCGGCTCCCCGCTTGCCCGCGCTGGGGCCGGGGGTCCATGCGGCCCTTGGGGCCCGGTCGGGGGGGCCGGGGCCTGCGTGGGCCAGCCGCTGGGCCCCATGGGGGGGGGGCATTGGCTCCCCAGCCCACGGCGGGAGCCCGGCGTGGGCTGCCACCCGCCCGCTGCCCTCCGGACCGGGCCCAGTGCAGCAGCGGAGGCAGCGGAGTGGGGCGCGTGCCCTAGCTCGGGGAGGCCGCCATGCTGCAGTGCACCGGCCCCATGGCCGGGCCTGCTCCGAGCGGATGCCGCTCCTCCAGAGCTGGGCCACTCCAGCGGCCGCACCCCGTTTGCTGGGCCTGTGCTGCCCAGACGCGCTGGAGTCCCAGTCTGCCCGCAGGCCAGCCGCGGGTGCTGTGCGGGAGGGCCATCCTGCCTTGTGGTGAGTTCGAGCAGCAGCAGCAGGAACCGGACAAGGACTTCGCCCTCCATCTTGCCTTGGGTCCTCCATCTTGGGACAGAGCCACGTGCGCCCTCCATCTTGCCTTGGGTCCTCCATTTTGGGACGGTACCATGTGCTTCCTCACGGGAAGAAGCCGCTGCTAGCCACACCCAGGATTTGTCTGGACTAACCAATAATAATCAAGGGAAGTGCACGCCATCACTATGACCGACTTGCGCCTGGCCAATCAGCGGGGCCCACAGTCCCCTCTCCTGCCCTCACTCCACCCCCCTTTAAAACCCCCGGTCCCATCAGGCGTCTCTCTCTTGGCCACTGGAGCTTACCGTTGCATCGGTGAGTGTGGCAGGGGAGCCAAACCTAGGTTTGAAATAAATGACTCTTTGCTTTTGCATCGGACTGACTGGCTCCCTGGGGGTCTTGGGAACTTTGAATTCTGGGCACAACACTGTCCTGCAGAAGTAGAGCACGAACCATGAATGCAATTTTAAATTGTCGGAATGTTACTTACAAAAGTGAAAAGAAACATTAATTTTAATAGTCACTCAACATGGGCTAAGTATTATTTCAACATGTAGTTAATATAAAATTCCTGATATATTTTTCATTCATTTATTCCTACTAAGTCTTAGAAGGCCGGTGTATATTTTATATTTCTGGCACATCTCATTTCGACTGGTCAAGTTTTATTATTTTTTTTGAAATATATTTTATTGATTTTAGAGAGGAAGGGAGACAGAGATAGAAACATCAATGATGAGAGAGAATCATTGATTGGCTGACTCCTGCATGCCCCCTACTGGGGATTGAGCCTACAACCCAGACATGTGCCCTTGGCCGGAATCAAACCTGGGACCCTTTAGTCTGCAGGCCGATGCTCTATCCATTGAGCCAAACCATCTAGGGCGCCTTTCGACTGGTCACATTTTAAGGGCTCAGAAGCAGGCCTTGGCCAGTATACACTGGCTGGAGCACCCTGAGGGGTATAAGTGGCCCGAGATGCAGCAGAAGATACAGGCAGAAGCAGATTGTATCTGTGGTACAGAGTTGGGATTTTATGCTGAAATTTTAGAATTGATCAATTATTACCACAAAAAGCGAAGGTCATTTACTGGCTTTTTGCTGATAACCATAACTCATGGAAGGGGTAGAGACTGCAGTGGGACAGGCTGCATGGTGATACCTGGGTGTCCTTGCTCCTGTAAGACCCAGCAGAGACTCATGCAGAGATCACATTCCAGCCCCCCCTTTTTTTTTTGTTTCTTTGAAGCTTATTGCTGGAAAAAAAAAGAAAGGAAGGAAGGAAAGAAAAAATTAAATCCTATAGTCTAGTGGTCAGCACCCAAGGGCTAGCCTGAAACATAACATCAACGTGGGGACAGTGGTGAACATGAGCACCCAGAAGAAGTAAATGTATAATGATCACAAGAAGGTAAATAACTCTAAGACCTTCGTTAGGCAGTCACTTTAACATATGGGGGAGAGAGAGGTTGGGGAAGGAGGATAGCACCTCGAGGAGTGTCATTTAAAGATTTTTAAGGGTACAGTGTGGGGATTATAACAAACCTAATGTTGCCTTCTTGCTTACAAAGATAAGGAGAGGACATTTCCTTGAGCTGGAGCAATCAGCTGACCTAGGATTAGATCCATCTCTGACACATGTTCCCTTTGGTAAATGAGCACCTCTCTGAGCCCACGGTTCCTCATTTGCAGGCTAACACCTATACTCATGTACCACACAGGTTAGTTTAACAGCCGAAGGTGCTAACCGATTGCGCCACAGAGACCGAGTTCATACAGGTTAGTTTAAAGAGTTCAGAAAGGTTTGTGGAATCATCTAGCACTGTGTGGTACATAGTGACATCCAATCAATGACTCTCATGAGTTAGATTCTTCCTCTTGTTTACCACCACCCAGGCATGGAAACTTCTTGAATTGAGTTCTAAAGGAAGGAGTGAATATGCTGTTGTGTTTTGGGGGTTTGTTTTGTTTTGTTTTTAGTGGCTTGACATCTTTGCTCCCACCTTACTCTTTTCTGTTCTCCCCTTTATGTATCCTCCCTAAACTCTGGGTGATTCAAGAACACGGGGAAGCATGTGTTCCAATTATTGGATTAGGCTTGGTGTCAGGAAACCAGTTCTAAATTCTTTATCTTCCTGTCTGCTTCAACTTCACACATCCTGATAAGGAAAACTCAATAGTTAAGCAAAGGCAAGCAGAAAGACATGAGAAAAAGATAGGGGATATTTTCTACCTAGTCTCCTTTCCACTCTTGCTTGCTGGGGCTGGGACTGAGGCAATATATAAGGATGTCCAAGCTACATACAGTAGTGGTGCAAACATGGAACAACCTCAGTTTCCCAATATGTTAGGCAGATTAATGATTCCCCAAAGATGTCCACATCCTAATCCCAGAACCTGTGAACATGTCCCATTACATAGTAAGAGGTGCATTTAGAGGTGCATAGTAAGAGGGACCATGTTATGAGGAGATAAAAATGGAAGGGGAAGGCAGAAGACTTAGAGATGTGGCAGAAGAGAAAGCAGAAGAGGGACAAAACCTTACTTGCTAGCATTGAAGATGAAGGAAGAATTTGAAACTAAAGAATACCAACAGCCTCCTCTTCAAGGTGGGAATGGCCCTCAGCTGACAGCCAGCAAGGAAACAGGGACTTCATTTGTACAAATGCATGGAGCTGGATTCTGCCAACAACCTGAATGAGCATGCAAGCAGATTCTCCCCTAGAGTCTCCAGAAGAGAACACAGCCCCTTTGATGCTTTGAGTTTAGCCCAGTGAGACTCATGGCAGACTTCTGACCTAGACAGCCAAGATAATAAACTTGTGGGGTTTTTGTTTGTTTGCTTTTTATATTTTTTATTGATTTTAGAGAGAGAGGGATAGAGAGATGGGAACGTCAATGAGAGAGAAGCATTGAGTGGCTGCCTCTTGCACACCCCTACTGGGGATCAAGCCCACAGTCTGGGCGTGTGCCCTGACCAGGAATGGAACTGGTGACCTCTTGGTTCATGGGTTGATGCTCAACTACTAAACCACACAGGCTGGGCTAAACTTGTGTTGTTTTAAGCAGTTCAGTTTGTGTTAATTTGTTATGGCAGTGAGAGAAAACTAATACATTCTGTAAGATGTGGAGAGTGAGAAGTGAGCTGTTTTCTTACCTAACTCCTTGTCCCACTCCAATAGTCTCATTAGGATCATAAGTAAGATTTTGCAGAGAAGCAGTGCATATTTATTTCATTTTAAATACTTAATCCATGTGGGGTTGTCTCTTGTTTATGTTGGGTGCTAGGGATCCAATTTAATATCCAACTGATCCTATATAATAAAGAGGTAATATGCAAATTGACCCTCACTCCAACACACAAGATGGCCACCATAAGATGGCCTGCAGGGGAGGGCAGTTAGGAGGGACCAGGCCTGCAGGGGAGGGCAGTTAGGAGGGACCAGGCCTGCAGGGAAGGGCAGTTGGGAGTGACCAGGCCTGTAGAGGAGGGCAGTTAGGGGCAACCAGGCCTGCAGGGGAGGGCAATCGTGCCAGCAGGGGAGCAGTTAGGCATCGGTCAGGCTGGCAGGGGAGTGGTTAGGGGGTGATCAGGCTGGCACACAGAAGTGGTTAGGCGCACTCAGACAGGCAGGCAGGCAGGCGAGCGGTTGGGAGCCAGCAGTCCCAGGATTGGGCCTAAATGGGCAGTCAGACATCCCTCAAGGGGTACCAGATTGGAGAGGGTGCAGGCTGGGATGAGGGACACACACACCCATGCACGGATTTCGTGCACCGGGCCTCTAGTATTAAATAATGTGATTACTTTTTATAATTTAAAATAATTTGTAGATTGTAGGGGGTTTTCACCTTAAACAATTGCATCATCTATAGAAGCTTTATTTCTTCTTTTCCAATTCCTGTACCTATATGTGTGTCTCGGTGTGAGAATGTTTAGGACCTCTACAACAATGTTGAATAGAGTGATAGTAGTAGACATCTGTGTCTTGATTTTAAAGGAATGCTCTTAAAATTTCAGCATGTGTGTTTGACATTTTTATGCCTTTGCTGTTGTTTATTGGGTTAGGGAAGTTTTCTATTTTTATTTCTGGTTTGCTAAGTTTAAAAGAAATTTTTTAAAATCATTGATGAATGTTGACTTTTAT